ATGCTCTTTACTCCAAAGTAAGTGAGAATGGAGATGTATTTTTTGTTTGCTTGTATGTGGATGATTTAATCTTCACAGGTAGCAATCCAAAAATGTTTGAAGATTTCAAGAAGGTTATGGCTCGAGAGTTCGAGATGACAGATATTGGCATCATGGCTTATTATCTTGGCATTGAGGTCAAGCAAATGAAGGATGGAATTTTCATTCACCAAGAAGGCTATGCTAAGAAAATTCTTAAGAATTTCAAGATGGAAGATTGTAAATTGGTGAACACGCCCATGGAAGTTGGAATTAAATTGTCAAGAGATGAAGATGGAGAGACGGTGGATCCAACATTTTTCAAAAGTCTTGTTGGAAGCTTGAGATACTTAACATGCACAAGGCCGGACATATTATTTGCGGTTGGGCTTGTTAGTCGGTTTATGGAAAGACCCACCATAACTCATTTCAAGGCGGCTAAGAGGATTCTTCGTTACATCAAAGGTACCCTTGATTTTGGGTTATTCTATTCATTTTCTAATGATTTCAAGCTTGTGGGTTATTGTGATAGTGATTGGGCCGGAGATTTGGATGATAGAAAAAGTACTTCGGGCTATTGTTTTTTCATGGGAAATACTGCTTTTACATGGTGTTCAAAGAAGCAACCCATTGTCACCCTCTCAACTTGTGAAGCAGAATATGTTGCAGCCACTTCATGTGTTTGTCAAGTAATTTGGTTGAGGAATTTGTTGAAGGAATTACACATGCTACAAGAAGAGTCAACGAAAATTTTTGTGGACAACAAATCAGCAATTGCTTTGGCCAAGAATCCGGTGTTTCATGAACGAAGCAAGCATATTGATACAAGATTTCATTTCATTAGAGAATGTATAACTAAGAAGGAGGTGGAGCTCAAGTTCATCAAGTCACAAGATCAAGTTGCGGATATTTTCACCAAGCCCCTCAAGTTTGCAGATTTTCACAAGTTTAGGAGTTTGCTTGGAGTTGAAAAAAAAATCAAGTTTAAGAGGGGGTGTTAGAAATTAAACTTTATTTTATTTAGTGTTTTATATTTATGTGAGTTTTTTATTGGAGTTAGTGGGGGGCATGAGAGTTACAACTAGTAAATGGTCATGTTAGTGGGTTAGTGGGAGTTTTGCCTACTAAATAGTCATGTTAGTGGGTTAGTGGGAGTTTTGCCTACTAAATGATATGTTAGTGGGGTTTTAAGTTTCATTTACATTTATGTTTTGAAGCCTATATAAACCCATGCATTGTACTCATTTTCTATCAAGTGGAATAAAAAGTATTTTCCTCCATTTCTATTCTCTTCCGAATAGTATAGTGTTGTGTGTGTAACTAGGCCACTATTTTCAACATATTATACGTACATATGTATTAATATGAAACATACCTTCTAAAAAATAGGGTTTTGAGTTGCAATTGATGCACATGAATCAAATACGACTCTCCAGTTTCAAAATTGTTGTTAGAACTTAGGAAAAAATCTTTGACAATTTTTGCATAGATATATAGAAAGAGAGAGCAATACTGTTACAGGGAAAATAAATGTCAAATTAAGATTATATAATTTGTAATATAAGAAGTTCAACATACATGAAGTTTGAAACACGTACCATTAAATCTGATGTAAATTTGACATTTTTTCCGACACCATTACTAGAACTGTTTTAACTTTTACTGAAATGTCAAAAGTTAGTTAATACTCCAAAAGTTATTTTATTTTTTTCAATAAAAATAACTAATTTAAATGTATATAAATATTATAAATAGAATCTACTTTATAAAGGTTTTGAGTGGTAATTTGTTGTACATGAAACAAAGATGAATATCTCCTTAGAGAGAAGAGTAATAGGATGATATATTTGTTTTTAATGTCAGTTTTTATTTTATTTTTTTATTTTTTTTAAATTTTTTAGTATATGATTCAACATCCTTTAGATGGTCCCGTCGTGTCATGTGATGAACGTTGTGTGAAATAGAATTTACAATAAAAAGTAACTATTATTTTAGAATGTTGGAGGTGTTTGCAGTTAGGAAAGTCATGTTTCAATTTTTTTTAAGTCAATGAGAATATTTGAAGAGTTATGTTTTGTTTTAAAATTAAAATAATTAATTTAAATGTATATAAGTAATAAAAATAGAACCCCATTTATAAGGGATATAGATATAGATATATATCTCTTTCTTCATTGTTTTTGAATGGATTCTTTATAAATAATAATAATAATAAGTACAAAGTTTTTTTTTCCCGGAATAATAAGTACAAAGTTAGATACGTGAAACAATGTTACAGAATTTAAATTATATACAAAAGTTTTTATTTCTATTACTAGGCCTATGTGTTTTTTCTTATTCGCTTGCAATTCTTCTTAATTGGTAACAAACAAAATTAGAACTCTCACCAGGAGACTCCAAGTTGCAAATAATATGATGCAGTGACGATGAAAAAATAATAATTTTATGTGCGATAGCAAAAATTGGACTCTCACTAGAGACTCTACACTAAAACGAAAAGAGGTGATTATAGTAAGAATCCAAAGCTAAAACAATCACTCTAAAATTAAGCCTAATTGTTCCAATAATTTTTTTTTAATATATTATCAATGTAATTACAAGTAATTTTCTTCATGTTCAATTATTGTAAATATTAATTCTGTGACAAATATGCATCAAATTTTTTGTTTACTTTTCGATTGCAGTTTCAATTATATGTAATTTGACAAACTTTCATATTTAATTTGTATAATTTATTGTAAGTCTTAATGATGTGCATCATATATTGACAATTTCTTTTTCGATATAATTTTTTATATTACTATTTTGATGAAATTATATTTCATCAGACTAATACACTTCAATTCTATCATTACAATTTTGTGTTCTTTTGCATGCTTTTTTTGCCTTATTTAAAAAAAGTGTTCTTTTGCATGCTTGACTTCTTGTGACAATGTGTGAATTCATACCTAACCAAATAATAATAATAAAAATGGTGTATAGGCTTATATGTTTCCAATATTATTTGATTGTATACAAAAAGTGAAACGTCATAATTTATTTTTTTATTTTAGTAATAAATTTATTCGTACATTTAGTTTGTCTTTCTAAATGGACTTGAACCCTCAACTTTTTATTTTAAACAGTGAAAAAAATATTAGTAATTAGTAAAAGAAGGTTGTTTGTAAATTCGCATATTTTTTAATTTCTAATTACAAGAAATAACAAAAGAAAAAGAAAGATAATACATCATTGCTTTTGAAAATTTAGTAAAACTATTAAAAGGCTTTTAGTCTAATGAATTAATCTGTCATTCTCAAATAGGGATGTCTAGTTCAGGTGCCATTAAAAATATGTGAATAATAATAAGTGTGTGTGTGTGTTTTTTTTTTTTTTTATTTCCAAGAAAATAAATAAATAAATAAATTAACAAAGCTTCTAAGAAACTCAAGAAAATTGCACTTCTCGAGCTGGTCATCATTTTTCTTAATGTGCAAGAAAGAGACCACACATCACGTGATCAGAGTGATGCTGCAGTAGCAGGTCCTTTCCTGCTTTTACATTACCATTCTGCCCAAACAAACACTCGTTCTAGAAATTAAGTCAATTAACAAAAAAGGTAAAAATGGTGACATACGAATGATATAGCATCTACATTGCAATTTCTCATGTAATTTTGCAATTGTCTTACTATGTAGGGGTATCCCCTTATAAGGGTTCAATTGTCCCAGTAAGCAGCGGCATCAAGGGTGGCAAATAGACAATTTTAGTCTTGGGATATGCCACCATCTTCACACTTGATTTGGGTATTTTTGATAATCTCTATTTGCAAAGCATTTATAAATTAAGTCACGTAATTCTTTTTAACATGTGTCCCTCTCACGCTTCGTGGATGTGCTCCGCTTTTGCTCTCACTAAAATTCACTATTTGTGACTTAATTTTGTTGTTTTCATACTTTCACTCTTGAATTTGATCTCACTCCCGTTTTATATGACTTGGTTCATAACATTGTTCAATGTTTTTATAAATGCAACTTTGGGGCTATGAATGTATAATAAAGATACGTAGATTAATGGTACTTTTTTATTATTCAAAATCAAATGTCCATAGTTAAATCTCCATCTAATAGCCGCGCAACTTAAAATAAAGTGAACGAGTGACTTTCTTGCCTAATTGTTTAAAAATCTAAAATAAAGTGAACGCGTGACTTTCTTGCCTAATTGTTTAAAAATCTACCTCTACACATTATTACTACGACAAGGTCTATCAAAACATTTAATTTAGTTATTCTCTCTCTGGGAAGAATTCGTGAAATTGTGTGAAAGGGGCAAATGTGAAAATTTTGTAATTTCGCGCGGGGAGAGAGGACCGGAATTAAACTTTCACAGGTCTATAAATAAAAAATGTATACTAACATAATACTATAAAAACAAAAATTCAGTGAAGACGCAATATTTGTATATATCTCTCTCTAAATGAAATTTTATTGAACTTAGTTTTACACACCACTTGAAGTTGTAGGCATAAATGTTCTTCCTAACTATAAATGCTTATTTATAATTTTTTTTTTCTAATATTTGTTTGAATTTTAAATATATATTTAATTATAAGACAAGCCTATCTATTTAAAATTTTAAATAAAAATGTCATTTAATATATTATTAAAACATTTAATTCTTTAACAAATAAAATATTTAATTAATCGAAAAAAATCAATTAATGCACGTTAGCGCCTGTCGAAATGCTGTTGAGTGTTGACATGACTAAGATCTTATCCACAACCAAAACAATACAATAATTATCCACATAAATAAATATTTGTTATGCACCACTTAAAAAACAAGGAAATAGGAAAATTACAATACGTACAACTTATTTGATGACGTGGCGAGCACTGATTGGATTAGCGACTAAGTAGCAAAAGATTCCCAGATATACAATTCCAACCCATATATATATATTTTGTACCTATGTTGATATATATATATGTACATCTTTCTCGCTCTAAAACATATGATTCTAGAGTTTGTTGTGCCTCGTGTCTTGGTTCCTTCCTCATTTCTTCATGCACCTCCATTTTCATTCCATTTATATAGTAAAAAACAACACTCATTGCACATATCGAATTACACAAAACCCTAAAAATCTTCACTCTGTACATTGTTCAAAACCAGAGAGAGATTCAAGAACTGTGATCTTCGTTGTGAACATTTCTATAGGGTTTGATTCTGTACCACTGAACAGATTTTTCCTTGCTTGTCCTCCAAGTGTGTGACTATTCGATTTTTAAGCTCAAATAGAGCTATAATTAGGAATTTTCAGTGTACATTGATGGTGCTGATGGATTGAGAGGTTGATTTATTAGACATTCAAGTGTTAGATTTTAGGTTTTAGAGTTGAAAGTAGAAGTTGCTAGTGAGACACATTTTCAGTAGGTTTTTTTTTTCTTCTTCTTCGTTTCCCAAGGGTTTGATGTGGTTTCACTTAATTCCGACCTTGCCAGTAAGCTTTGACCTTCAAAGGTTTTTTTTTCTTCTTCTTCGTTTCCCAAGGGTTTGATAATGATTACAAAAATTGAAGGTCAAAGCTTACTGGCAAGTCGGAATTAAGTGAAACCACAAAAGAATTTAAGAAGTAATTTTATTTACTCTTTTTTTGTTCTTTATTTATGTTTGAAGCTAGTTTTTTTTATGATTTTTTGTTGTATGAACAATTTTTCTTTTCTGCTATCTTTTACTCTTTGGATATATGCAAAGAGTTACCAAGTGGATTTGACCGGTCAATTTTAGAGTAAGACTCTGCTATACTTGCTTCTTCTTCTTCTTTTTTATTATATATTTTTTTCTCCCTCTCTCTCTTGTTATTGTTGTTGTTGCTAAGTTTATTTTGTTATTGTTGGTGTCTTCATAGTTTCTGAAATATTTAAAATCCATGATTTTTCATCTAAATTTTTGGTGTATTAATTATTTCTGCTGACATTTAGAAGCATTTTTTTTTGTCAGAGTGTATTTAGCAAGACTTTCTGTGTTACTATATAATGTGTATCATTCATAACATTAACAACATTTTTTCCCCTCTTTTTATAATGGTTCAGACATTCGACATTTTCATATACAATAGATTTTCTTTTGTCATTTGGTGAGTTGGATACTGGCAAAAGTTTACCTGGTAGATTCGACCCATTGATTCTGTGGTAAGATGCCACCATAGCTGCGAGATTTAATTGTTGTTGTTGTTACATTGATCTTAATTCTATGTTTCGTTTTTTAAACAGCAAATTTGATGGGTTTTCCAGTAGCATACTGGAAAAGCAAATAGCACCAGTTAGTGTCTCATTGAATAGTTCTAGGGGTAGTAAATATGATTTATCAACGTCCACTAAAGGGGTTTGGGCAAGAATTCTCAAGGACTATGCGGATTTGACCCATCAGTTCTGTGGTAAGATGCCACCATATCTGCGAGATGTAATTGTTGTTTTTGTTGATGATGTTGTTGTTACATTGCTCTTAATTCCATGTTTCGTTTTTTAAACAGCAAAATTGATGGCACTTCCAGTAGCATACTGGAAAAGCAAAGAGCACCAGTTAGTGTTTCATTGAATAGTTCTGCGGGTAGTAAATTTGATTTATCAACGTCCACTAAATGGGGTTTGGGCAACAATTCTCAAGGATTGTGCGGATTTGATCCATCAGTTCTGTGGTAAGATGCCACCATATCTGCGAGATGTAATTGTTGTTTTTGTTGATGATGTTGTTGTTACATTGCTCTTAATTCCATGTTTCGTTTTTTAAACAGCAAAATTGATGGCACTTCCAGTAGCATACTGGAAAAGCAAAGAGCACCAGTTAGTGTTTCATTGAATAGTTCTGCGGGTAGTAAATTTGATTTATCAACGTCCACTAAATGGGGTTTGGGCAACAATTCTCAAGGATTGTGTGGAAAACGTGATGTGTTTCATCTAGGCTGAATAATAGATACAGTCCCCTACAAGACATTTGTAATTCAGGTACATGTTTAAGCTTTTCTCTTTTCTATTAACTGTATCCTTTGGTTTACAATTTACTATCTACTCATTTTATTGGCACACTGTCTTTACAAGTAACTTCTAGTGATACATTTTATCTGTAACTGTTTTCATTGTGCAATTTTGATGCTGTAATAGTCCTCCTGTACGGTTTTTGATTAATTACGGATTTGTAACTGTAACTTTTGAAAGATACTCTTACTTACTGGTATTCTGCTTTCTGGTTATGTTTGGTGAAGCATAGATACTAATTTGAGGCACACAGGTCGAATAGATCTTTTATTTAAGACTCGAGCGTGGGGACAGAATAATATTCTAAATCAACAAGTAGCCTATGCTAAATGTGGAAAACATGGGAATAGAACATCCACCATAATGGGTTATTTTAATATGAAATGTAAGGATAAATGCCTTTTTCAAAGTAGAACGAGTTCAATATTTTATTTTGGACAGAATAATATTCTAAATCCGCACTTTTTTAACTGAACGAGTTTGCTATATAATAGGATCAGCTTAGTGTCACGGGCTTAGAGTTTCAGCACCACTCTAGCTACTCCCGTGCGGCACCAAGATGTTGCTTCCACTCTCGCAAGTACTTGGTCAGCCTAATTCCCGTGCACACCTTAGCCAACACACTCCCCTCGTGCGCTTACTAGTGTTGTAGTTGCACTCGCCCTCTCCTTACTTGGCTTGCACACTCACACACACTAAGACACTTAAGTTGGCAAGGAAAGAACACTTCTATTATTTCAAAGAATGCTTTGTACAAGGCTAGCACTCAAGCTCTCTACAAGGCTCTCAAGACTCACTCTAGGACTTGTTCCCTGCAAAATGAAGTCCTACCTCTATTTATAGGCATCCCCATCCCTAATGGACGGCTAGGATGCATTCTAACCAACGGTGAAGATTGATTATCTAGAATCTTCTCCCACCTTCTTCACACTTCCATACTTATCTACTAGTATCTACAACATTCTAGAATTCTCCATACTACTCCACACAACTCTGGAGAATTCTAGAACCTTCCACACACTTCTACACATTTCTACACATATCTAGAATCTTCCACATAACTCTAGACTATTCCGGAAGACTCTAGAAACTCCACTTGCCATGCAGTTGCCATGCAGCGTCCTCCTCAGCGTCTGCGTGTCGCCTGCGTGGCACAACCTCCATAGGCGGGGCGTGACATTCTCCCCCACCCATTTCCGTGATGCCCTCGTCACGGTTTCTTCAGCTGACCCAGCCTCTCGCAGGTCATCAGCACTTGCGCATATGTCCTTGGCCCAAACGTACGAGCGCCCTTCGGGAGATGTGAAGTCCTCACGAGCTCCATCATGTTGACTGCCACCTCCGGACTCTCCTTCCTGCCCACGAGCGGCACCATGCATGCGGCCTTGCCTTCCTCGCCTCCAAGTATCATCAACGCACCAAGGCATGGTAGTGGCGCGGCGTTGTTCCTGTCCATGAACTCCAGCCCCAGCACCATGTCGTGGTCGTCCATCTCCGCAACTTGGAAGTCAGCCTTGCCCTTCCATCCTTGCATGCATAGCTCCACCTCCTTGCACACTCTACTCACGCGTGCCTCCTCGGAGTTGACGGCCTTGATCCAGCCCTCCGTCTTGCGCATCTCCAAGCCAAGTCGTTGCGCCTCCTCCGGGGTAATGAAGTTGTGTGTAGCACCCGTGTCTACCAACGCTTGCACGGCTTTGCCACCAACCTGCGCATCCACATAGCGCACCCCAGCTACCTTCTTTGCCTTGCCCTTCTTCTTGGTGTCATGCGCCATGCTACTCAGCATCTGCATAGCCCCCATGCACCTATCTTCATCGCTGCCCGCATCGTCCACCCTGCCCTTGCCCTTATCCTTCACAAGGGCGCTCATGGTCTTCTTGTTGGGGCAGTGTCGCAATATGTGCGGCCCTTCGCACAAGTAGCACTTCGGCTCCCACTTGCCCTTATCGCGGCGCTCCCCTTTGCCACTTGCCTTAGACCTCTCTCCATGGTCCTTGCCCTTATCATGGCGTGGGCGTCTCTCCTCATCGCTGTGCTCATCATCACTAGACTTGGGCGAGCCCCGTTTCTTAAAGCGCCGGTCTCCCCCACCTTTGCCGTGGTCCCTCCTGGGAGACGTGGCCCTCTTGTCATCGCGCCTAAAGTCTTCGAGGCGCTCCGCTATAGCCATTGCGGATGCCAAGTCTCTAGGCTCCCTCCTCCTTAGCTCCGTGGCCACCCAAGACTGCAGCCTATCAATGAACAAGCACACACGTTGCCGCTCCGGCATCTCTGGGATCTCCAGCATCAAGTTGGAGTACTCCTTCACATACTCCCTTATGCTGCCCTTCTGCTTCAGGCGCCTTAGGTTGATCATGGCCAGGTCCTCAACGCACTCAGGGTAGAACTGCCTCTTGAGCTGCCTCTTGAACTCCTCCCATGTGTCAACTGCTCTTGCGCCTCTACCAGTGAAGCGCTGCCTCCACCATAGAGCGGCGGTGTCTGTGAGGTACATAGTGCCTGTCTGCACCTTCTCCTCATCATCCTCGATCTCCATGCACTCGAAGTACCACTCCATGTGCCAAAAGAAGTTGTCAATCTGGCGCGCATTCCTTGCCCCATCGTACTCCTTGGGCTCCGGCGCCTTCTTCTTCCTTGGCTTCCCCACGACCTCGCGCGCCTGGGAGAATTCCTTCTTGCACTCGGCAATCTCCACGCGCAAGTCGTCTACCTGATCATACAAGTCCCTTTCCTTCTCTCGCGCCTTGTTGGCAATGCCGTCAATCAGCTCGTAGAGTTCCGCCATCTTTCTCTCGAGCCTGTTAAATTTGGTCTCCGTGTAGACCAAGTGTGTGGCAAGCTTCTCCTCCAAGCTCTGCTCCAAGACGTGGACTTGGTGGTCTCCTCCGCTAGCCATGTCTACTCCAACAAAGCTCCCTTGACGAACCTGGCTCTGATACCAACTGTCACGGGCTTAGAGTTTCAGCACCACTCTAGCTGCTCCCGTGCGGCACCAAGATGTTGCTTCCACTCTCGCAAGTACTTGGTCAGCCTAATTCCCGTGCACACCTTAGCCAACACACTCCCCTCGTGCGCTTACTAGTGTTGTAGTTGCACTCGCCCTCTCCTCACTTGGCTTGCACACTCACACACACTAAGACACTTAAGTTGGCAAGGAAAGAACACTTCTATTACTTCAAAGAATGCTTTGTACAAGGCTAGCACTCAAGCTCTCTACAAGGCTCTCAAGACTCACTCTAGGACTTGTTCCCTGCAAAATGAAGTCCTACCTCTATTTATAGGCATCCCCATCCCTAATGGACGGCTAGGATGCATTCTAACCAACGGTGGAGATTGATTATCTAGAATCTTCTCCCACCTTCTTCACACTTCCATACTTATCTACTAGTATCTACAACATTCTAGAATTCTCCATACTACTCCACACAACTCTGGAGAACTCTAGAACCTTCCACACACTTCTACACATTTCTACACATATCTAGAATCTTCCACATAACTCTAGACTATTCCGGAAGACTCTAGAAACTCCACTTGCCATGCAGTTGCCATGCAGCGTCCTCCTCAGCGTCTGCGTGTCGCCTGCGTGGCACAACCTCCATAGGCGGGGCGTGACATTAGGCTTTACTGGTTTTGGATCACACACTGCAAGTGAACAATAAAAAGATATGGCATATCATATTTTTCGCCCAAAGAACCTAATGTCGCAACGCTTTGCAGTGGAGTATTCACCTCTGCTTCATGTTTATTGCTTCTGTAATTAATCATAAGACTAAAATTATCCTAGTAGCTCTGATCCCCTAGGTTGGAAATATTTATTTAATATGTACAGTTATGTTATAATCAACAGATTTTAGATATATAGGCTGCTATACTGTTTGTGTGCCTTGTGATATTGGTCTACGTTGTGGTCTTTTTGTGTAAATTACAACTTTTTTCATACGTGCCTTCGGAGATTTGATCTTGCAATTGATTTTATGGCTTCTGGAACTATTTGTGTTATCAGGCAGATACTGGACGACATTATGGTGATCAATCTCGACATCCTCGGGAAAATCCTGAATATGATGGACTCTTAGGAAGTGGTGCTTTTTCAAGAGCTTCTGGAGGAACAAATGAAGCTTTGGCTCTGAAGGTTCAAGAGAATGATCATTATCAACTCAAAAAGAGTGATAACCCATATCGTCCTCCACATTCTTACAAGGTCTATTCACCCCAATAGACTTCATACGATGCCTATATAGACTTGATATTATGGAGGATTTTGGAATGTGCTCATTTATGTTCTTTTACATCTTGAAGAAAAATAATTAACTAAAAAATTTAAGCCAGAACACCTGGTTGAATATTACAAATTGATATTCTTTCAGGAAGTACCTAATCCAGGGGTAGAGAGTAATGAATTATGTACTGAAGAAGCATCTTGTTCTGCCGTGTCACTGAATGATGAGAGAGCAGAGGAGGAGAAAAAGAGAAGAGGTACGCTTTCCAACCTTGATCAGGCTTGTAGTGTATTTGCATAGATGATGTGGCTGTGTTCTTGGCTTCAGTTAGCAAACGTATATCAATTAGTAAGTCTCTTGATGCTAACAACACGAATTGCTCTTACTCAGATACATTTGAGTTGATGAGGAAGGTCCAGCAAATAGTGACTCTGGAGAATCCAAAGCAAATTGGCTATAAGCAAGAAGAAAATTTTGAACCTGTTAACGTTGCGCTCTCAGAGGATCTTGGAAATGATAAGAGGCTTTTGAAGGAATCAAAGAAATACATGGTATTGACAGATCCAAGTAACAGTTCAGCCAATAGTTCTTTGGAGAAGAATCTTGGGATAAAATCCTTAATCCAATCCCCCATTGCTGAGGTAATTGGTTGGTATACTCATTATTATTGGCTTACAGAAGGGGAAAAAAAAAAAAATTATTGTTCAAAATCACCCATGCCTATGAAATTTCACTACCTCGATAATTTTGCAGTTCTTTATTTCATGCAAATTGCATGATTTTGAAGAAGATATATAATTAGATTTTGCTGTAAGACGCTTCTGGCTATGTTCTTGTAGCACTTCAAATGTGTGAACTGAGAAGTATCCATGAAAATTTTGAAGTGGTTTGGTGTGCCAATGCATGATAAACGAGGATGGATTGTCTGACGAAATATATAATTTTTGCAAATTGTTTTTTTACAGCAATGACAATCAACTGCACTGTCTTTAGATTGTGATTTATATAAATAGTCTGACATCCTTAAGTTTTGTTGCACCACCAGCACCAAAACGTCGACACAGATAAGACCCAGAAGCCCATATTGCATTCATCCAAGTTTGCTCATTGGTTTCTTGAAGAAGGTAAGCTTATGTGCCCTTTTTAAAAATATATCTTCTAGAGCTCAGAGAACTATTTTTATCATTGAAAATCTTATGTGCCCTTTTTAAAAATATATATCTTCTAGAGCTCAGAGAACTATTTTTATCATTGAAAATTAATTTTCATCCTTGAATCTTTTATATTATTCATGGAAACTTCTACTTCCGGAATTGAGTCACTTAGTTATAGACTGAAGCTAACTGTAATTCTCATCTCGGTCCAGAGAAGGAACTAGCTGGTGGTTTGATTGCAATTGATGATCCTGTAATTACTCAGCACTCAAAACCTATGCCAAATATGGCATCAATCATCCATACACAACAGGAAGCGAAGCTCAGTCCCAAAGCTGGCTCTGATGATACAGTTGACTCCACAGGCGAAATCTGTTGGCCGGACGAGGACAGTTTGATTGCAATTGATGATCTAATAATTCCTGAACATTCGATGTCTATGCATAGTGGGAAATTGACAGAAGCTTATATATTGGCCTCAAATGTAACAGTTGATATTGCAGATAAATCAATGGCTCTAAATGTTGCCCACCATGATGAAGGATCTACTGTACCGGCTGTGGGAAACTCAGCTTTTCTCGCTGGTCCATATGATACAATGGGCTCAGGGTTTCCTTTTCACAACCCCCTTTGACAGCAATCTAACCCACAGTTCCACCACTCTTACATAAGTTCGGGAAGACCATCTTTCCATCCATTAGATTCCCATCGAGCTCAGATGAACTCTCAAACCAAGTTCACTTGTCCTAAGAGCAATCATTGTAATCCTTCGCCACATCACCATATTGACACATATGCATATCCTTGGCAAACTACTCCTGTGAAGTCTAAAAAGTTTCATCATACTGTCAAGCATTCGCAGTTGCAGCAGTCAATAAATTTTCCTTGCCCACAAACTGATTATGAGCTGCTGAGAGGTGCACCACCTCCTAATCCCATTTATCAAATGGCTTATACTCAAAATTTGAACCCAGTACAAAATTTCTTCCCGAATTCTCAACAATCTAGCTATGTGGGCTTTGGAATGCCAAATCCAGGTAAAGCACTATATCATTTGTGTTTAAAATTTTACCGCTTTTGGACCACTCTCTTCACAAGGCATGTTTCATACATGAACTTCGCTATATGTGTAGGGATCATTTCTTGGAATTTAATGAAATATCCATCAATCTAATACTTCTATATTAGTAGTGGCGGCTCTATATCTCTCATCACTCTGTTCTAGAGAACATATTTGTGCTTTATATCCTATTAATAGTTCTCCATTAGTGGTTATCGATGGTGAGTTTGTAAAGAGAAAATACGTGTCCCCCCCACCATCCCTTTTTTTTTTCGAAATTCTATTTATGGTTACCTATTAATAATTATTAATGGCGAGTTTGCAAAAGAAAATTACATGTAGCCCCTTCAAATTCCAATTAACCTTTTCAGTCTTGCTTTTAGAAATCCAAATTCTAGTGAAATAAAAAATGTCCATGTAGTCATTGCTACAACTCCATTCATGTATGTGTGTGTATATATATTATTTGCTATCTATATAAATTCAAGAGAAAAGAGAAGGAATGCTCACACTTTTACAACCTCATTTATTAGCTGTCAGCGTTTTCTTCTCACATTAGTTTCAAATCTGTATTTGTTTAAGTTGTATTCTGCTCTTCTTTCATAGGTCATATATTTTTCATTTTTAGGTTATTCAAAAATATAAAAAAATGCTATTTTGAGGGCATTCTTGTACTTTATTTCTTTACAACGCAGTTCTTAATGTTATAAGGAAGCAAGATAAGTGAGAGTATCCTCATCATAGACATGCTCTTAAGAATATACATTACAAGTGTTATAATAGTTTGCCCGCCCAAAAAAATAATAATAATAATGAATGGTTCTGGTTCTGCCCCTGCTCCTAATTTTTTTATTTATCATAATAAGTACGCATACTCTTACAAATTTGTCAAACCATGTACCTTACACTGGAACTATATCTGATGCTTTCTGTTTTATTTATGATTCAATACATTTAAATCCCTTAGTTCGAATTAGGACGGATTCCAGCAATGAATATTGGGCTTAGGTATTGTTAATATAACAAGTATGACATTTTATTGCATTTAATCACTGTGCTCACAAGATTCTATTATCTCAAAAGTCATGAACTTCTTTAAATTCTTTACATGTATGAAGTCATTGTATAGTTTCACTTTCACCACATGTGCAATATTTGCTAACCTCATGTCATCAGTCTCCCATTAAGGCAAAGATGGCAGTACTAAGTGGCGTTAGATTGAGTTCCATAAATAGAGAAGTTAAATTCCTTTGCTCACAAAGTGAAGAATCCCTAAATTCCACAGCATGACATGATATGTCCTCTACTCGGGATTGGTTAAATGGTCAGTATAGAAGAACCTAGGTGAAGTGGAATGATTCGAGGAGACAGAGCTGTAAGCTCTGGACTAAAGCAGCTTAAATGGCTTTCTTTTGTCTTACTCTCATTTAGATGCTAACTCTGTACCAATTTCATTTTCAAGACTGGTTTTGTTGTTTTGCATATGTTATGGAAAAGAATATGGAAAACAAAATTTTTTGGGGCTAGTGGTACCCAGGAGGTCCATCAGATGGATTGCCTCATTTCACTGTGGAAGTTGTGTGGAGCTATTACCTTTACGTTGTGGACTACAACATTGAGATACGAAAGTTCAACATTCTTGTTGATACTACCACCGGCCCATTAGCCAGAGTGGTATAACCTCTCTTGCAACAGAGAAGGTAAGGGTTCGAGCCCCAAAAGGAGTATTGTGTAGGTGTGATGCTTATCAGCTTATGCAACCAAAAAAAATGGCAAGCTTGTCCCAATGTTCGAGCCCCAAAATTGTGTAGGTGTGATGCTCATCAGCTTATGCAACCAAAAAAAAAAAAAATTGGCAAACTTGTCCACATTGGAAACTTCAGCTACTTGAGGACATTAGAAGACTCAAGGAAGGATATGGAGATAGTAGTTCCATTCTCATACTCGAAAGACAGCTTGGTGATCTTGATCAATTTCGTGCTTATAACTTTTAGGAATGGTCACTTTCAGGGCATGCATCCTTTCTCTTGATGTGATACATTCAATTTTCAAGGTGAGATGGATCAAGAGATTGGCATAAGCCCTAGGTCACGCCTGAGGAGAAATTCCGTGAACCTTAATATAGAATGGCACTGGTTTGTCTTACAAAAAATTAACTAGGAAAATGGTTGCTTCTTGTTATCTTATAATTTTTTAAGCTTATGGAATTTGGTATTATGATTGTGATTTTGTAAATCCTTTATTTTAATTCAGGATTGCATTTAAGATTGATTATTACTAACTTTCTGCTTCTTGTAATGCCCTGTGGTGTATTCCGATCCTGGACACAACGGGATAAAGACAAGAACAAATCAGACGCGTCATTTCACCTTAGGTGGCTATGATCAAGGGACATGCAGTAGACAGCGTGGCCCAGAATTTTGGCGTGGACGGTGATCAATTGGCGGTGATGATGGTCATTTTCGTGCTTAAAATGAGACTGTATATTCCAATTGCAAATTGTATATACCAAGCTATCTAAACTATATATTGCAGATCATATATGTTGAAAAAGAAAGATTTGGTAGTAATACTACCAAATATTATTAGTTATTATTAGCGGTAAATATAATATTTGAAGGATATTTTCTGTAAATAGAATATTTGTCAAATACTGTAAATTAGGAAATTATTAATTAGGCCAGTTAGGTCTGTACGTGTATTCTTTCCTATAAAGAGAACCGGTGTAAACTTGTGAATATTGTGGTAATACAGAGGAAAATGTTTTTCCATATTTCTTTCCTTTCAAGCTTTGGTATCAGAGCCATCCTAAGGAAAAAAAAAAAAAACCCTAATTTTCTTTTCTGCACAATTTCCTCACTGATCAGCATGTCTGACGTTTCCCCCATGTCATCCTCGCCTATCACAACCCAATTAACAAATCCGACAACCCAAACCCCCAGTACCGATTCTCACTCGGTTCAGATTACCAATATTCACCTTAATGGTGACAATTATTTACAGTGGTCTCAGTCCGTTCGGATGTACATCAAAGGGTGGGAAAAGATCGGATACCTGACGGGAGACGAGAAGGCACCAGTATCGGAGGACCCAACATACTTGACCTGGGATGCAGAAAATTCAATGGTGATGACTTGGCTTGTGAACTCCATAGACGAGGATATTAGTTCCAACTATATGTGCTACTCCACGGCCAAGGAGCTATGGGACAACGTAAATCAGATGTACTCTGATTTGGGAAATCAGTCTCAGATCTACAAATTGACTCTAAAACTTGGTGAGATTCGGCAGGGAGAAAACTTGATCACCAAGTATTTCAATTCATTGAAGCGTCTTTGGCAGGACTTGACAGGACATGGATCTGTTCAATGATTATGAATGAAAATCCACTGAAGAGCCAATCACTACAAACGGTCCGTGGAGGCTCATCGTATTTACAAATTCCTTATTGGGCTCAACGTGGAATTTGATGAAGTACGAGGATGGATCATTGACAGGAATCCACTTCCTCCAATTGGTGAAGTGTTTGCTAAGGTTCGAAGAGAAGAGAGCCGCAGACATGTAATGTTGGGGAAGAAGACTACTAGCGGACCTGTTGAGAGTTCTGCCCTTGTTGTTGCTGAGACTGCTGCTAATAAAGTAGTCAATTTTAAGCGAAAACCTGAAGAGAAGCCACGGGTCTGGTGCGACTTCTGCAACAAACCGCGCCATACTCGGGTGAACTGTTGGAAAATCCACGGAAAACCAGCGAATTGGAAAAGTAGCAAGCCTGGTGACAGAAATAGGCGTGCGGTTCCTACTGCCAATGAAGCTGAGACAAGTCCCTTAAGCAAGGAGCAGATAGATCACCTTCTGAAGCTGCTGAAATTTAATTCTTCATCTGGTATTCCTAATGTTTCTCTTACACAAACAGGTAGTGCACTTAATGCCCTTTCTTGTTGTTTAAATTATACTCCATGGATCATCGATTCTGGAGCCTCTGATCATATGACCAGCCTTTTCAATATTTGTAGCACTACTCACCATGTTCTGATCTTGAAAAAATTAGAATTACAGATGGTAGTTTCTCACCTATTGCAGGAAAAGGTTTGATAAAATTATCTAAGAATATAGATCTTAAATCTGTTCTCCATGTCCCTAAACTAGCCTGTAACCTTCTATCTGTGAGTAAACTAACCAAAGAATCTAATTGTCGTGTATTTTATGTGATTCTTACTGTGAATTTCAGGACCGGAGCTCGGGGAAGAAGATTGGCAGTGCTAAGATAATAGATGGACTTTACTACTTTGATGGGGACTTCTCCAGTAATAAAAAGGCTCAGGGCTTTAATAGTGTTAGTTCTAACTCTGTTTATGAACAAATAATGTTTTAGCATTTAAGACTAGGACATCCTAACTTTCCATATCTTAAACATTTGTTTCCTACTTTATTTAAAGGTTTTAGATTGTTTATCGTTCTATTGTGAAAGTTGTTGCTTATCTAAGAGTCATCGTACTACTTATTTGCCAAAACCTTATACTTATTCAAAACCATTTTATTTAATACATAGTGATGTTTGGGGACCTTCAAGAGTCACTACTATCTCTAGGAAAAAATGGTTTGTTACTTTTATAGATGATCATACCCGTTTATGTTGTGTTTATTTGATGAATGAAAAGTCTGAGGTTGGAAATTTTTTTAAGGATTTTTACATAATGGTTGAAACTCAATTTCAAGCAAAAATTAACATTTTTCACACCGATAATGGTACTGAGTATTTTAATGAAATTTTGGCAAATTTTTTTGAAAGAAAATGGTATTCATCATCAGTCTACATGTGTGGATACCCCTCAACAAAACGGAATTGCTGAAAGAAAAAATAAACATTTACTTGAAGTGGCTCGTGCTATAATGTTTTCAATGAATGTTCCAAAATATCTTTGGGGGGAAGCTGTTTTAATAGCTTCGTATTTGATTAATAGAATGCCTTCACGTGTTTTAAAATATAGCAAGCCATTAGAATGTTTTAAAAGAACTTTTCCATTATCAAGTGTATACTCAGATTTACCTCTAAAAGTTTTTGGCTGCATAACTTTTGTTCATATACCCAATAATACTTGATCCAAACTTGATCCTCGAGCTGAAAAATGTATTTTCATACGATATGGTTCTAATCATAAGGCATATAAGTGCTATAATCCCCAAACAAGAAATTTTATGTAAGTATGGATATCTCTTTCTTTGAAAATAAATCCTACTTTCCCAAAAATTCTCTTCAGGGGGAGAATGAGGTGATGGAAGAAAATTTTTGGGATTTATCTCCTACTTCTTTACCAAATGTGATTTTGACACCTTCACCTCATCCTACTGTTATTCCCGAAATTCAAAGTCAGGAATAATATGAATGAAAACAATGAAGAGAATCCTAGTTATATAATGCCAAACATTACTGTATTTGAAACAGGGGAAGAATCACTATAACCAGGCACAAAAGTTCCCAATACTGAGCCTCTGGTTTATACTCGGAGAATACCTCATCAAAAGAGTCAAAGCCAGCCTATTCCTCTTGGAATTGATCAATCTCAACCTCCAGGAACTGAACCTCCAGATATCACAGGTAATTCTGTTCCTAACTCATCTTCAGTTCCTTCTCCTAATCAAGAACAATCAGACCTTGATATTCCTATAGCTGTTAGGAAAGGTATTCGAATCAAATATCTAAATCCAAAATATCCCATTGCCAAATACTTTTCTTATGAAAAACTCTCTCATACTTATAGGGCTTTTACCTCAAAAATCTCACACTTGTTTGTCCCGAGAAACATTCAGGAAGCTCTTGATGATCCGAATTGGAAGTTAGCAGTGATGGAAGACATGAGTGCTCTTAGAAGAAGTGGTACTTGGGAGATAGTTGATTTACCTAAGGAGAAAAGAACAGTAGGCTGCAAGTGGGTCTTTACTGTGAAATGTAAAGCTGATGGTAGCATAGAGAGGTACAAGGCAAGACTAGTAGTAAAAGGGTTCACCCAGATCTATGGAATTGATTATCAGGAAACTTTTACTCCTGTAACTAAGATAAACTCAATCAGAATTTTGTTATCTTTGGCTGTGAATTTCAGCTGGCCATTACACCAGTTAGATGTAAAAAATGCCTTTTTAAATGGAGATCTTGAAGAGGAGGTCTTTATGAATCTACCACCTGGGTTTGAGGGAAAATTGGAACCTAATAAAGTCTGTAGACTGAAGAAATCTTTATATGGTCTCAAACAGTCCCCTAGAGCTTGGTTTGAGAGATTTGGGAGAGCTGTGAAGAATTGTGGCTACTATCAGAGCCAAGCTGACCATACCATGTTCTACAAACACAGTAGAGAAGGCAAGGTTGCAGTGTTAATTGTCTATGTAGATGACATAGTCTTGACAGGTAATGACAATGAAGAATTGGAGAGACTGAAAAAGAGACTTGCAGCTGACTTTGAGATAAAGGATTTAGGTGCATTAAAATATTTTCTTGGAATGGAGTTTGCTAGATCCAAAGAAGGTATATTTGTGAATCAACGTAAATATGTTCTCGATTTACTGAGTGAGATAGGTCTGCTAGGATGTAAACCAGTCGAGACATCCATTGAGCCCAACCTTAAGCTGCAGCCTTTTAAAGATGAAGAAGTCTTGAATAGAGAGCAATATCAAAGACTTGTTGGAAGACTGATCTACTTGTCACATACACGTCCAGATATAGCTTTTGCAGTAAGCATGGTTAGCCAGTTCATGCATTCACCTGGACGAGAACACTTTGATGCAGTCTACAGAATTCTCAGATACCTAAAGGGGACCCCTGGAAGAGGTCTACTGTTAAAAATCCGTGGGCATTTGCAAGTTGAAGCCTATACTGATGCGGATTGGGCTGGGAGTGCTATTGATAGACGGTCAACTTCTGGCTATTGCACCTTTGTTGGAGGTAACCTTGCTGGGAGTGCTATTGATAGACGGTCAACTTCTGGCTATTGCACCTTTGTTGGAGGTAACCTTGTCACCTGGCGGAGTAAAAAACAGAATGTAGTACCAAGAAGTAGAGCAGAGGCCGAGTTTAGATCAGTTGCTCATGGAATTTGTGAGGTGTTATGGATTAAGAGATTATTGAATGAATTAAAGGTCTCTAATCCGTTGCCTATGAAATTGTATTGTGACAATAAAGTTGCTATTTCGATCGCTCATAATCCAGTGCTTCATGACAGAACAAAGCACGTGGAGGTAGACAAACACTTCATCAAGGAAAAGCTCGAAAACGGATTAATCTGTATGTCGTACATTCCTACTACCGAGCAAGTTGCAGATGTGCTTACAAAGGGACTTCCTACAAGACAGTTTGACAGACTAATTGGCAAGCTGACTATGGAGGATATCTTCAAACCAGTTTGAGGGGGAGTGTTGAAAAGGAAAGATTCGATAGTAATACTACCAAATATTATTAGCTGTAAATATAATATTTGGAGGATATTTTCTGTAAATAGAATATTTGTCAAATACTGTAGATTAGGAAATTATTAATTAGGCTAGCTAGGTATGTACGTGTTTTCTCTCCTATAAAGAGAACCTGTGTAAACTTGTGAATATTGTGCTAATACAGAGGAAAAGGTTTTTCATATTTCTATCCTTTCAAGCTTATAATATACACCATCTATACCAAACAACCTATACCAAGCTATCTAAACTATATGATCTGCTACCTATAGATGGTGTATATGATCTGCGATATATAGTTTAGATAGCTTGGTATATACAGTCTCATTTGCAATTGGGATATAGAGATTC